TGAGGAAAGAGCATTAGATTCAGCAATAAAGAGATTGTTGGTAACTTTGGAGAGAGTAGGTAAGATGAGGCAAAAGCCAGATTGCAAGGGGTTGAAGTTCGAGTATGAGGAGAGGTAGTAGAAGCCATGAATGTAGATAGCTTTTTCAAGGAGTTTAGCTGAAAAGTGGAGAAGAGAGATAGTATGAAAGCTTAAGGAGGTAGTGGAGTCTAGTGAAGTCTTTTTAACGGTGAGGAGGCTTGGCATGTTTGAAGGCAAGTAGGTAAAGAATCAGTGGATGGAAAGAGGCTGAAGCTTAGAGAAAGGTGAAGGTGCCTAAGAAAGCAGGAGGTGATGGGATCAAAGGCACACGTAGAAGGATTGGACTTGACAAGGACAAAGGGTAACCTTATGTTAGAGAATACCTAGTAAAGCTTTACTTTTAGCCCTAAAGTGTTTCAGTGGGATCAGAGAATTTCCCCTCTTACCCACACCAGTAATGCGAGAGGAATCTGGATATCCCAGGTGACATAGAGGGACTGATGGTAGCAAAGATTGAAAGGTCACTTTCAGCAGAATGAAGGAGGGGGTCCTTGGAAGAAATCTGTCACTTAAAAGACTCAGGGCTCAGCTGTGTCTTCCCCACTTGCAATATTTCTTTATGTTATCTTCCCCTGAGGATAGGTTCTAGGCTCCAAAGCTCCCTTTTTAAACCCTGGGGATGAAAATGGAGAGGTGTTAGGAGGGAGTCATAGTTTAAGCATCAAATCTGGGCATCAGAACCATTGGCCAACCAGATGTTAATAAGTGAAACTCAGCTTTGTAACAGTCAGGAAACTTTTTATGTATTTCCCACAAGGCAGGAACCAATAAGATTGAGAGCCAGAAAGGCCCTTGAAGGATGTGAAGTCCATCCCTCTCCAATTTACAGATGGGGTGAGACCTAGAAAATTCAAGTAACTTGCTCAGTCTTGAAGGTAGTAAGTGACAGGACTTTGGCTTTTGATTATAAACCAGTGTCCTTACCTTCCAATAATGATATATTCTGCCATAGAAACCCACAGGTTAGCATAATGAGAGAATGGTATAGTGGGAAAAGGGTTGGATTTGAAATCAGAGGACGTGGGTTCAATTCCTGGCCCTGTCACTTACCACTTGTGTGACTTTTAGTATAATTAATCATTTAACCTCTCTGGGTCTCAGTTTCCTGTTCTATAAAAGACGGGTGGGGTGGGGTTGGCCTTGACCTCTGCAGTGGCCTCCAGCTCTAAGTCCTAGGATCCTAGGTGTGGGAAGGTGAGAAAACTCAGTTGACTGAAAGGGGGAATGAGGGGGCAGAGAGAAGCACAGGTGACTGAGAGAAACAACACAACCAAACAGATCTGTGGGAAGCTGTGCCAAGCGGAAGCTGTGACTCAGATGAGTACCTGCAACATGCCTAGAGCTTAGACCCGGAAACTCCTCTCAGCGTCGATGTTTCACTTGAAACAGCTGACTGAGCATGTTGTTATTGGATGACTCACTGTGGAGGAGGATACAGGAAAAGATGGAGGGGCCAGGTTTGGGCTTCAAGATCTTAAAAGAGAGCATCCCCTGAATCCTTTGCTTGGTGGCAGAAGGACTAATTAGAGCTGAATGCAGAGGAAACTTTATGGATTTGGGACGGGGGAGGGGAGGAGAGTAGGATGGAGGATGTGGGAAGGGGAAATAGGAAGTCTTGTTATCCCACTGAGAGGCAGTTTTGGGGAGACTATGATTTCCCTCCCTCATTTCACTGAATAGGTTGGGGACACCCCCAAACTTCTCAAGCGTCCAATAATAGCTTGTATTGGTAGCGTTCCTTCATGAAGAGCGAAGCTTTTTAAGACTTAGATTGACTCTGGGCTGTCCTCCCATCCCTAAATGATTCTAAATGCTGTTCTTTGTGCCCTGGTGGGTCCTGTGTTCCCATATGCACACTTGCCTTTGTTACCCAAAACAGAAATAAACTGCAGAAGCTGCCAATGGAGATAATTGAGATCATATCTATTCTTCCTCATTCTGGGGGCAGGGCGCCCATGCAAGTGCATCAGTCCTGGGAATAAAAAAAAAAAGCCAACCAAAAAAACAGGGCCAAAGAGGCCGAGTGGAGCTTAGGGGAATGGGGAAGATGATATAGATGATAACTAAGTTCTAATTTCAGGAACACTAGAAGTAACTTTGTGAGCCTTTTAAGATTTTGTGATCTGTAACTGTTTGTTACTTTTACTCATCCGTTTACCTAATGCAACTAGAAGTAAATACCCCGTACAGCTCTGTTCTTAACTTGAGTCCACCCATAGATTTCAGAGGGTCAGTGAACTTTGGATGGGGAAGAAAACAAAACAAAACAAAACAAAACCCCTTTACATTTTTATTTTCATTAACCTCTAACTGAAATTTAGCACTTCCTTCAATTCTGAATATAGGCAACAAACTACAGTAGTATTTGCAGTACTTGTGACTGTCACCAATAGAAGTCACGGATCTTTTCCTATCACATTACAGAATACCATTTACGCTCATTACTACTTCGAAATTACTGAGACATATTGCTATATCTTACATGGTCAATCTGTCTATGAATGATATTCAAAATACTTGGTTTCCTTTTTAATCTTATTTATTTTGTGCATTTACTAACATCATTCTGAGAAGGGGTCTGTAGATTTCACCAGACTGCCAAAGAGATCCAGGACACAAAAAACCGCTAAGAACTCTTGCCTTAAGAACATTTGTTTCAGGGATATAGGACAGGGAAGGAAGGGAGAGCACGACCTAAGCTGTTTTTCCATTCCTATAGAGTTTAGAAAGCAAAGCAGAATGGAGAAATTCTGACCAGAACCACTGTGTGCATAGAAGAGAGATGGGGAGCCAGTCTCCAGGACTCTAAGGAGAAAAGAAAGATTGTCATAACTGAGGCTCAGGTGGTGGCTGCCAGTGGGGAGGCTGCCGGGCAGGCAGCCTGGGGAAGGCAAATGTGAAGTGTCTAAACACAGGTGCAAGGTAAAGAGCCTGTTATTCTAGGGATACGGGTCCAAAGGTAGGTCTGAAACCAGGAGACAGAAAAGGTGAGATACTGTGCCTTTAGTTTAACGGAGTGTAATTGTCAGGATATATATCTAGGCAGAGCTAGGGCAGGCAGGCTGCAGAGGTCCAAGTGACAGGAAATCTGCCGAGGTTGGAGGGACAGGTGATCTGTTTCTTATTTCCTGTGTCAGCATACTTTGTAAATTGTAAAGGGACAGAGAAATGGGACTATTATTATTCTCTCTGGGCCTCAGATTACTTCCCTGTAAAATGAGGGGAGGCAGCTAGGTGGCTCAGTGGACAAAACTGGGTGGCACAGTAGATAGGGCTTGGAATCAGGAAGATTCATCTTTATGAGTTCAGATCCAGCCTTAGACACTTATTAGGCTGTGTGACCCGGGCAAATCACTTAACCCTGTTTGCCTCAGTTTCCTCATCTGTCAAATGAGCTAGAGAAGAACATGGCAAATCACTCCAGTACCTTTGCCAAGAAAATACCTAATGGGGTCAGGAAGAGTTGGACGGCACTGAAAAATTACTGAATATGCTGAAAATGAGGGGGTTGTGCTAGACAGCTCCCGAGGTCTCTTCCACCTCAGACATTTTATTCTTCAGAGAGGCTTAAAGTGGCAAAGGCATTTCTTCCGGGGTATTCCTGCACAGAGGCAAGGGGGTGGGGTGGACTCCATGTTCTCTAAGATCCATTAAGCAAGGCGCACAGTAGAATGAGTGCTGGAGTTGGGGGGGCCACAGGGCTGTCTTTAAAGCCTGGCTCTGCTGCTTGTCTGTGTAACCTTAGGCACCTCACTTCAAACTTTCTGACCATCAATTTCCTCATCTCTAAAATAAGAGTTGCACTAGATGGTTTTTTATTCATTTGAGTTGGAAGGGACCTCATCTAGTCCAACCTTCTCATTTTACAGATGAGTAAACTGAGGCCAAGGGCAGCTCAATAGAATGCTCATGTACTAAGTAGTCAGATACCCAAGATTGATTCCAAGAGGCAGTGCTCTTCTGCCCAACCTGGCTTTAAGTCCTATAAATGTAAGAGATAGGTAACTTCTCCTTCCACAGAAGGGATTCCTGCCAAATGCACTTGAGCAGTTCGCTTAGCATATAGGGCAGCTAAGTGGCATCCCTTTCCTGAGTTCAAATCTGCCCTCAGACACTTACCAGCTGTGTGATCCTAGGCAAGTCACTTCACCCTGTTTGCCTTAGTTTCCTCATCTGTCAAATGAGCCGGAGAAGGAAATGGCAAACCACTCCGGTATCTCTGCCAGGAAAACCCCACATGGGGTCACAAAGATTTGGACACGGCTGAAAAACAACTGAACAACAACCTAGCATAAAAAGGTGATTAGAGGAAGACTCCATTTCTTAGAATGCAGTGCCAGGCGGGGACACTGGGAAAGATTGGGGTGGAGAAGAGCTGGCCATTCAGAGCATCTAAGGCAGGACTCCAGGATCAGAAGAGGCATCAGCCACATGGCTTGCCTTGCCTTACACTGGTGTGTGAGGCTTCTTCAGCTCAGGTGGGATCAGCAGGAGTTGTGACCTGAATGGCTGTGCAGCAGGGGCAGAAGACATAGGATGCTGTGAGCTTTTTCCTTGCTGCTGGACTCTGGTCTATGTCTCATTTATGCCCTCTTCAAAGTATTCACTGAATGTCCTGGCCACTAGCAGGAGGGCTGCATTGAATACCCTCAAAATGAGCCAAATTCATATTTCCTAGAGAGAAGACTCTGAATGGGGGCATGAGCCAGGATGTTATTATTGCTAAGAGGTTGAACCTCTGAGTCTGTCCTCAATTGACCCATGGACACGAGACCCTGGTGATTGAAGGCCATACGTATACTATCATCATGGGAATGTTGCTTTCTTCCCACTGAGGCCATCCCCTCAAAGCCTCACAATGCCCACAATCCAGCCCCATCCCTTAGGAAGCCCGACAGGAGACTCACTCTCTTTTTTTAAAATCCTTTATTTTATAGCAATTGTCATTAATATAGAAGTAAATAACACATTTAAAAACCTCCTTCTTACAGGGGCAAAGGATTCCAAAGTATTTACAAACATTTGGGTGGGGTGGAGGAAGACAGGACTGATGAGGTCTTCAGAGAGAGGAATGGGACTGCAGGGTAGTGTAGATTAACTCTGGTCTCCCATCCCAGGCTTGGTGCAGGGAGAGCATACATATATTTTTACCCCCAAACTCATAGCCCAACCAGATCTGGGCCAGGGAGGAAGCCCTAGAGATTCTCCTACTGAGCGTAGTGTTAGATGACCAGCTCAGGGTGCTGATGGAAGTGAGGAAGGCCCAGAGGGGTGCTGCAGGCTGGGGCTCTGGGAGAGGCTAACTGGGGGCTTCTCCCAATTGGGATCCACCTAGCCCAGAGAATATAGAGGAGAGGGGCCAGAGCTTGGGAAGTGGTAGTGGAGGGCTAAACAGGACTGAGGCCCAGGCATTCCTGAGCCCAGGCTTAGGGCCTGCTACCTGGCCTGGCCGATGGAAGCAGACGAAGCACCCAACCTCCATTCTTGAAAACCTTCCCCATCCACCCCACTTGTGATCCGTTTTCTAGCTCAGTTTCCAGATTCCCAGTTGCTCTGGGTTGTAGGGTCTGGCCAGGAGGATGTCACCAGTGGGTTGGCACTAGGCCCCTTTTCTTCTTGGAGCTCCCGCCACACTCCACCCTGGGAAAGCACAAAGGTTCTTCCTCCCAACCCTCCCACTCCACCCTAGTGCACAACTACTGGGTGAAAAATGGAGAAGCACCAGTTCACAGGGAGATTTCATTGTAGGAGGAAGGAGATTTGATTTACCCTTCAGTCCCTGATCAGTCTAAAGAAAGGTGTGGGCATGGTCTGGGGGTATTAGACAGACTGAAGACAGGAAGCAAGGCCAGGCAGAATAGGTGGATATTCCTGCCCAGCCTGGGAGACATACACTGCACCTTCACAACAGGAATAATCACTAGGGGAATTTTTTTTGTTGTTTTGCAGTTTTCACATCTATCATTTTTTTTTGCTATATACGTATGTTTTTGTTTCTTTGACAGTGACATAAACTGAGGTAAACATCTGTGACCAAAACCTCTCTAATGGGGCAAAGAGTCCTAACCTGATGGCCAGAGAAGGCAGCGAGGTGTAGTATGAAGAGCCCTAGACTGACCGTGAATCAGAAGACCGTGGTCTGAGTCCCAGCTCTATCACGAACTTGCTGTGTGACCTAGGGGAGGTCACTTCCCCTCTCTGGGCCTCGGCGTACTCATTGGTAAAATGAGGGGGTTGGAGTGGATGGTACATATGGTCCCCTTCCCATTCTAACACTAAGATTCTACAATGAGAGAAAAACCTCAACAGGATCTTTAAAAAAAGAGTTCGAGAAGTTTGTCTACGGCGGAGTCTCGCTTCAACATTATTGCACGAGAGAGATCAGGACTTTGAGGAGGCCTAAGGCAAAAGGAGGAGTCAACGATGAAGAGTTCAGGATTGGGCACCGGTGGTCTCAGGGCCTGGCTACAGGCCTGGGGCTTGCCCTGCTGGGACAAGCCAGGCTGACTGCCCAAGGGAAGGGGACGGGGAAGCAGGGATCTCCACTGAGAGGGATCTAGGGAAGGAGAGGGGCATTTGCTACGTTCCTAGCACATCTCCAGAGGGCACCAAGCCTGCTGGAGAAGGGTAAGCCCCTTGAGGGGACACTGTCGGCATCTTGGCTGGGCTAGGTGTGCAGCCCTTCTCCGCCCTCCCCTTCCCTCTCCCCTCTCCAGCTTTGAGCCTGAGCAAGGATTCTGCCCTGGAAGTGTCCAAGATCCTTTGCCTTTCTTTGAAGAGAATGGAAAGAGGCTGAGGTCAATGCAGGGTCTGCTTGGCTGTAAACTGTGCCTAGGTCTGGGGTGAGGAGTCAATAGCCCTTTTGTGTGATTTGTGGGGAGGGGATTGGGGGTTGTTGCTTATTGTAGGATGGTGTGTGTGGCACTCCACTCCCAGACACTACCTGGGGCCCATCCCACTCAAGGACGTTGGGTGGGGCCAGACAGGCTGGGTGCTGCTCCCCAAAGCCTACCCCCCCATCCCTCACCTGAGTGCTGGATACAGAGGGGCTCAGGCCCTGATGGAAAGAATGGGGGGCTGCCAGTGCCTACCCTTTTGTGGATTGATGGGGATGAGGGACCCCCAACCCTGAGGGTGAGGTGTTGACCAGGTCAGCTGGGCTGGCAAGGGGTCCCTGGAGCCTCCTCTCAGTGGAGGCTGTGGTGGGGTGGGGTGGGGAGGAATAAGAGGCCTTGGCTGGGAGGGAGGGGCTGGAGGATGGGGAGCCATTTGGGTCTGATGCCCCTAGGTTCTCTGGCCCCACCAGATATGAGGTTATTGCTGAGAGTCCCCTGAAGAGGCAGGGGTGGTGGGGAGCTTGGGAAAGAGGGATTCCTGGGGGGGGGGCAGGCCCCCACTCTCATTTCCTTGGTCTTCCCTTAGACTGGCAGGAAGCTGCCTACTCGTAGTGTATTTCCATTGCACCACCAGGCCCTCACCCAAGGATCCTTGCCTGGTTCCCTGAGGGCTTTGGTAGAGACTGGTGTGACCTATGAGTCCTGTTCCCCCTTTTTATCAGGGGCCAGTTGAAGAGACTCACCTTTGGGTGAGGCAGGGGATTCATACCTTCATTCACCCACTCACACTTATCCCCACTGTCCCTTACACAGCTCCCTCCCTCAAGTTCCTCCCAGTAGATGTTACCTGACTGACCTAGGGCACCACAGCTGGTAAGTGAGATCCCAGCCCAAAGTTACTGAGCAATTTCTGGCACAAATGCCCTTGCAAGGGAGGGAAAGGGTCGAGGAATCCTCCATCAGGGCTGCTTCTGCCCTGGGTCCTTCCTCAATCCTAGAGGCCCTACCACCACCCTGTTGATAGTCATTTTGGGGAGAGCCCAGGCCTGGAAGCCAGAAGGCCAGGATCTGAGTCCTGGCTTTCTAACTAACTGAATACAGACCTCAGGCAGACAACTGCCTCCGTCTCTTCTGTGAAATGAAGGCATTTATTTAACTTCTAGCTTTGAGTCTTCAGTTCTGATAGGGCCAAGGCTTTTGCCCCATCACAGGGTGGTGATGGCCCTTGCCACACAAAATCCTGGATTTCCCTGGGGCGGTACAGGAGGAGCCTTTTCCCTTAGACGGCTCAGGGATTGGAGCCCATGGCTGCATCACTAGAGTCACACTCTACCCCTGTACTAATCTCCCCACAAGGTCCTTCTGTACAATCTCTGGCCCTCAGCTTCCTGGCCGTTCCCCTCCCCCCAGGCCTGGTCAGGCTTCCAAAGAACTCTTCATCCCAGCCCGGGATAGGGAAGTTCTGCTAGGGAGTCATGTTTTCTGCTCCCAGCCATTGTCCTGATTAGACAGGCCATTGTCCCCAGGCCACAGAGGCTGGGGATCAGTTGCTTATTGGGCCTCTGTCAGGATTCCTCCTAAGAAGACCATTCCTTATTGATATCTTCTAAGAGTACTTCTTATCTTTGTGGAGGCTGGGGAGAACAGGAAGGGGAAGGGAGGTATTTTCTCTCCCAGTCCAATGTAGGGGCTTCTCTTCCTTCTCTAACTCAAAGGAGAGCCAGAAGGAGGGCCTAATGACCCAGGCATAAGAATTTAGATGAGTTTGGACTAGACATATCCTCACCCTGCTCTCTTTCCTTTCCTTGCATTGAGGCACTATCCGTACCTCAATACAAGGGCCTCAGTCCTACCCCCTAACTCCTGAATTCTGGCCATATCCCCACTACCAAGTATCCAGGCAGATGGGAGAAATGACAGGACAGACATGACAAAGTGGGCCACAGGTCTGTCATGTATGACAAGCCCCCCTCCCTTAGGGGACCCATTACCCTCTTGGGGAGACGTGGGTTTTAGTCTTAGCTCTGGCATTGACTTGCAGTGTAACTTTGGGCATCCCCTCTCCGGGCCTTACTTCCCTTTCAGCTCTAAACCTAAGATCCTATGACTAAATGAACTCTTAAGGTCTCTTCTAGCTCTGACATTCTATATTCTATGTCTGGGAGACACACACACACATACACACACACACACACTCACGTACACACACTACACATTTGCTACATTTTTCAGGTAGCTGGGTCAGTTTATCCCTGTGTCCTTCCTTCCTTTCTCCTGGTCCCAGTGTTCTCCTCGCCTTTCCTGGGGCCTGCCCTGCTCATAGCTCTGGAGCGTGCAGGGTTTAGGACCAGGGGTTGGAGTTACCGTGGTTGCTCCCCTGATCCCCTTTCTATGTGGCCCAGAACCCTGGATCTCCGTGCTGTCTTCATTAGTGAGAGCTTTCTCTGATCCTGGGGCCTCCACCAAGACTCAGGGATCAACAGCCCCTTCTCTCTCCCCGCCCACTAAGGAAAACCTGGCCCTATCTCTTCCCCAAAGGCAAAGAGAAAGGAAAAGTAAACTAAGGGCCTGAGGAGAGGTTGGTACCCAAGGAAAAAGGGGCTAACAGAGGGAGAGGGTAGGAAAGAGACAGGGGGAAGGAGAAAGGCCAGATAGGGACAGAGTGGCTAGGATAGGCTGAAAGACTTCAGATGGTCCAGTGACATTGGTAAGAAGGAACTGGGAGTGGGTGGGAAACAGGGGTGGAGAAAGCAGATTGGAGCCAGCCCTGCTCCCTAAGCTGGGCTGGGGATAACGCCCCTGAGAGCCACCCTATGACCCACAGGATCCTACCTCCAAACCTCGGTTCTGCTCTGGCAGTCTGTCCCTCTTGATGCAGGTTCTGGGCTCTAGGCTCCAGGCCCCTCACCATCTTAGTGGTGTGGGGGCAGGCACTGCCCTATGTCCTTCCTGGCCCCTTAGACAGATTTTTGGTTAATGTCTTACTCGAGGCCCCGGTGGAATTGCTGCAGCCCAGCCCTGCTGTTCCCAACCCCACTGCCTTCCTCCTTGAGGGGAGGGATAGGGGCTGTGGGGCCCACCAGGTCCCCATCATCTGAACAGGGCATTCTTCCATCTCTGTCCTGACTGATCCTTGTAGAGCTACTCAGGCTAGTACTACGATATTACTATTGTCTAACCGTGTTTCTTTTTTGCTTTGGGAACAGTGACTCCTGGTTCCTTCAGCAGGTAAAGGAAGGGCCTCTCCCCACCCTGAGTCCCCCGTCCCCCTATGTCCCCCTCACCCACTGGGTCTGGGGGGGTTCTCGCCAGCCTCATGGGTGCAAGCGCTGGGGTGAGGAGCCCTCCCTAGGAGTTGCCACAGAGGAGCCCTCGAAGGGGGGACTGGCATTGGGCAGGGGGGCAGCTCAGACGCAAATCTCTATTGCCGTGGCCAGGACCAGCTGCCCCTTGCTCTTGTCCTGCCGCCCATCCGTCCTGCTGGCCGGCCCTGGTGAGGTGCGGCCAGATTCAGGAGGGGTGGGGGGGGAGGACCTGGTCCCACTGCTCTCGGTCAGCACCGTCCTCTTGAGCGGCGCTGGGGCCTCCTGGCGGTGGGGCCCGGCGGGCAGGCGGTCACCTGCAGGCTTGCGGGCACGGCAAGAAGGCCGCCGGCGGAGCTCCGAGGTGAGCTCGTGCTTGAGGAAGCGGAAGACCTCCTTGGCGGGTCCCCGCCTCTCCGGGTCCAGGGCTAGCAGCCGCTGGAACATGCGCAGGGCTGGCTCGGTGAACCGCCGCCACTGGGAAGGCAGGCCCGGGAGCCTCCCCTTCTGCCACCGCACGAACTCCTCAAAGAAGGCGTCCGTACCCGACGCGGCTTCCCAGGGAAAATTGCCCGTGAGGACGCAGAAGATGAGGACGCCGAAGGCCCAGACGTCGACGCCGGTGTCGACAGCGAAGCCCTCGGCCCGGCCTGCCTGGCACACCTCGGGGGCCGTGTAGGGGATGGTGCCGCTGACCCGCTTCACGCGACAGCCCACCCTTCGGGTCATGCCGAAGTCGGCCAGCTTCACCCGGCGGCAGTCCCGGTCAAAGAGCAGCACGTTCTCAGGCTTGACGTCCCGGTGCACGAGGTGCCGTCCGTGCATGTAGTCCAAGGCCAGGCCCAGCTGCTGCACACACCTCTTCACCGTGTCCTCAGGGAGGCCCACCTGAGGCAGAGGACAAGGGATGAGAAGGCCCGGCCCAAACCTCTCTCCCCAGGACCCTTGAGCACACCACGAAGGCTTCTCCCGCCTCCCTTTGGGTAAAAGTTCTCTCTGCCCCTTCAGATACTTTGTCTGGACCTCTCCTTTGCTGGCGTGTTTGTCCTTCTTGTTCCATTAGCCTCTTTCTGAGCAGGGCTTGTTTCATTTCTATATTCGTACCTCAACACCTAGAACCACACCTTGAGCCTAGTAGGCGCTTAATGAGAGCTTTTTGAGCTGAAAGGCTCCTCGGGTGACCTCATCTTGCCTCCCCATTTTATAGATGAAGAAACTCATGCTGAGAGGTGACTCGCTCAAATTTGGCCAGCGGCTGAGCTGGGATTTGCACTCCATGCTGTCTCTGTTTATGGGCCGCTAGGTGGCGCCATAGTGCACAGAGTGTAAGGCCTGGAGTCAGGAAGACTCACAGATATGGCCTTCAGACACTTAGCAGCTGTGTGACCCTGGGCAAGTCACTTAACAGTTTCTTCATCTGTAAAATGAGCTGGAGAAGGAAATGGCAAACCACTCTAGTATCTTTGCCAAGAAAACCCCAAATGGGGTCACAGAGAGTAATGACTCAAAAACAACAGGAACAAAGTCTGTTTGTTTAACTGAACTGACCCCGGGCTAAGCAATGAGATATCCCCAGTGCCTTCAATTGGGGGTCATACAACCTGACTCTTTTAGTTAGTAGCTGAGTGACCCTCCATGAAGGGTTCGGAGACCCATGTTCTAATCCACCACTATCTCTGCTTGATCTTCAACCACTGAAATTCTCTTAGGCCTCCATTTCCCTTTTGCAAATGGGGATAAAAATATCCACCTCACAGGAGTGTGTGGGGGCAGAGATAGAAGGGATCTGAAGGTGCTTCGGAAAGAAGAAAGGGCCACAGAGACACGAAGGGCTGCTGTTACCGTCATCACTATTGGAGGCAGCAAAGTGCAGCGGGAAAACTTGGGACTTGGAGTCAAGAGTCCAGAGTCTTGCTCTCAGCTTTTGCTGTGTCCTAGCTGGGTGACCTTAGGCAAGTCATCTAACCCTGGAGTTTCAGTTTCTTCCTTTGTAAAATGAGGTGTGTACTAGATGATTCCCAAGATCTACTTCTAGAACTAACACTTTATGAGTGTGTGATTCTACCTCCTTCCCCAACTCCTCTCTTCCCTGCCATGGCTGGCAGAGCAAGCAATAATGGGGTCAGTGGAGCTGGTAGGGGAGCCCTCTAGGCTTGGGGAATCATATTGACTTGACTATGGCAGTTGAAACTTGTCCTCTGCCATGCTAAGATGGTCCCTCTGCCTAGGTAGATTTGGGTGTTGGCCTGTATGGAGGCAGGGGGATGGATAGATTGACCTCACCACATCCTATTGATGGCAACTTTGAACTGGAGTCTGGTTCTGCCCTACTCTTTGACCAGGGGGTGGAGGAGTCCTTGATGCTAACCCTAATTACACCCCCTGGGTCCTACTCTGGAGAAAGAGTTAATCTTTATTTTAATTCAAACTTTCTGAATCCTCCTTTTTCCTGTTGGACCTTCTAAGCCTGTTTTCCTCTGCTCTGTGCTTGGCTAGGATTGGCTTCTGGAGGAGAGGAGGATTTTCTGCCCTGGTTTTTCTTGTCTCTATATCCTCTGGGATTTTAGACCTGGTCCTTCAGACACTCATTAGCTGTGTGATCTCGGGCAATCACTCAACCTCTCAGCCTTGGTTCCCTCATCTGCAAAATGGGGAAAATAATAACACCTACCTCATAAGGTTCTTGTGAGGATCAAATGATATAACATACATAAAGCACTCTGCAAACCTTAAAGCACCATATAGATGCTATCATCACTATTATTACTGACCAAGGTCTCATAGGTCAGCCTATGGGTCAGGACTCTGATTCCCCTATAAGGAAGAGGAAGTGAAGAGCCCACAACGAAATGAGGCATTCTTCCATTCTCCTGTCTCTTTCCCAGGGGTCAGGCTCCAACTAAGTTCCCACAGCCTAGACCCCCAAGGTCTCCTTGTAGAGGTTGGGAGGAGAGATGGGGAAAATGGAAGGGAGAAGAGTCTGGGCTCAAGCATCCCCCCAGATGTTGGCTCCAGGGGGAAGAGGCCACAGGCCAGGCCGTGGGGGATACCTGGGGCGGGATGATGTCGAAGAGGTCCCCACCGGGCGCGTACTCCTGTGCAAAGACGTAGCAGTCCTCGGTCTCAAACACCACATCAAAGACCTTGATGATGAAAGGGCTGGAGGAGAGTGTATTGGTGATGCTGACCTCCCGGAGGAAATTCTTCAATTTTGTCTTGCTTTTATTCACGAACTTCAGAGCCATCTTGGTCCCTGCGAGTGAGACGAGGCTGTGAGGGTGTGCACATGTGTGTGGTGGCGCCACTGCTTCCCACCCTTAGGAATGCTACTGGTGATGCCCTTACTGGAGACAGTCCCCAACCTCCATGGGCACATGCAGGCTACATGGGTGGGTTCTAACCCACGCCAACATACGTCCCCCCACATCTGTGGGTGTGCTGGCGCCTATGTCCCACGTCCGTATGCCGTTCAGGTACACAGGCTACGTGTCTCTGTGTGTAGAGATGTATAATCTATATCCCAGGGCACAAGTGGAGGTATATGCCCTAATGCTTCTGTGGACATCCATGAACAGAGGCTGCACCCCATCTAGGGACTCAGGCCACCCTATAACCCACCTGTGCTCTTGTGGGACACCAGGTCCACCTTGCCGTAAGTGCCCTTGCCCAGCTCCCGGATGAGGTCATAGTGCTTGCTGACATCTGTGCCTGAGAGTGTGCGGATGGTGAGGGCCTGCATGTCCTCCGTGAGGAGGGGCACACCACTGCCACTGCAGCAGGCCAGCGCACGGGGAGGCTCCTGCTCTGGGCAGCCCCCACTCATCTTCTCCCTGCATGGAGGAGAGAGAGAGATCATTGAACTGAGGCTGGAGGGGGGCAGCTGATGGTAACTGGAGGCTTGACCTGCTCATCGCCCTCAGTGGGCTGAAGAAAGATAACCATGGGAAGGCAAGGGGGCAGAGATCGATAAAACAGAACACCTTTTCCCTCCCAAGAGCTCAGAGAAACAGTGGCAAGAGAAATGGTTTTAGAGTCCCAAAGCCTGGGTTCAAATTCTGCCTCAGATACTACCCGTGTAACCTTGGTCAAGTTGCTAGTCACTCCTGGCCTCAGTTTCTTCATTTGTAAAATGAAGGGGTTGGGCTAGATGGCCTCTGAGGTCTCTTCCAGCTCTGAATCTATGATATATGGCTCCGAAAGTCCATGGCCCTATCCTCGTCCTTTCCTAGCTACACCATACGTGTTGGAGAGAAAGTGGCAGACTGTGTGTGCTGATGTCGATAGGGAAATACTCTGTTCAGTCCTTTCAGTAAAGTCTGACTCTTCATGACCCCTTTTAGGATTTTCATGGCAAAGATACTGGTTTGCCACTTCCTTCTCCAGTTCATTTTACAGATAAGGAAACTGAGGCAAACAGGGTTAAGTGACTCACCTAGGGTCACACAGCTAGTCTAAGCGTCTGAGACCAGATTTGAACTCGGAAAGATGAGTCTTCCTGTTTCTAAGCTCAATGCTCTGTCCACTAGCCCCACAGGACAGACTGGTGTATGGAGAGACCAGGGTCAAAGTGATCCATCCAGGCTGCTTGGCTTGGAACCAAGGAAGACTCCCTACTGTGTGCTCAGACCTTGCGCAAATTTGAGCGTAAGGTGAGAGTGGGGTCCTGGTGGTCTTGAAACAACTCTTTGGCCACTGTCCTGGGGAAGTAGGGACTAAGACCTTAATACAAACAAGCCACTAGGGGGCAACAAGGGTCTTTCCATTAAAGAGAGGGGGGAGAGAGAAAGAGAGAGAAGAGCTTGTGTTTATGTTCTGGCTGCTCCTTGGTCCTTTGAGAGGCCAGCTGGGGGACGTGGCAGAGACTTAGGCCTTCACTCAGGGATGAGGTGGATGGTTTGTTCTAGGAGTGAGCTGTTAAGACAAACCCGTCATTACTCTGTACTGAGATACACACAGGGGTGTGCTGGTAAATGTTTAACAACTAACTAGCAAAAAAATGTATTTGTGACACATTTTTAAGCTTAATTAACAGTATTAACATAACACAACAAAACAATACATTGAGCCTTGGTTTGTAGTATTTGCCAGTTTCTGAAGCATAAATGCTCACACTAGAAATTTAACAATGGGTTTGTGCTGGTCCTAGTTGACTCCAGCCCACTCCTGAGTACATGCTTCCTAGGAGGGAGGAGGGATTAGCTGACCACAGATTACGGGTCTACCTTCCTCTTGGACTATCTCATTGTTTATCGCTAGAGCAACAGAAAAGAGACACATCTGCCCAAATCTGAGCCAAATGTCTACCTAGGCATCCATAAAGGATGATCTGGGGGTGCCTCCTTTCCTTAAGGGTTCTATTCTTGGGCAGGGTCCAGATACTTGGATATTCCCAGAGAGATAGTATGTTACAGACCTCCCTGAGCCTTTGTTTATTTTTCTGTAAAATCAGAAAATAAGCCTAGATAACCTTTGAGTTCTTTCCCAGCTCTGTTGTTTATGACTTGGTTTTGAATCCCAGGTCAATCACTTATTAACTTTGCGACTTTATCCCTCTGACCCTCAGTTTCCTTGTCTATAAAGTAGAGATAATAATACTTGTACTGCTGCCCTCGTACAGTTGTCTATAAAGCACTTTACAAACTGTGAAGGGCAATAGAAAGGGGAGTTAGGATTATTTTAATTCCTGTGAAATACTAATGGGGGATGCCAGAGACATCTTACAATGGTACACCTGGTACCCAGGGAAATGGGCCTGAGAATTTCAGGCCTGTGACAAAAGCTCCATCACCCCCAGATTTGTATTTGGCTATTGGTGTGTGCAGACTGCCCTAATACAACATCATTGTTCCTCAGACCCCTGGGGGATCAGCCATTGCTTCCAGACCCCTGACCCTCTTTTCGCTGCCCCTAGAGCAGAAGCAGTCTCTGAGCCATGCTGTGAGGTACAAGCCCCCAGCCTCCTACTCAATGGCCTCCCCCATCAGTCCCACAAAAGGGCCTCATAGGGCGGACAACAGCTCTGCAGGGTCTCTTTGTCTGGGGTCTCTTTGTTTGGCCTCTGAGAACAGCAAGTCAGACCCTATCAGAAAAGCCAGGCCTCCTCCTCCTCCCCCTCCTCTGTGTCCAGCTCAGGAGCGACAACAGCTTTCTGTCCTCTGTACAGAGACCGGCCTAGGCCTCCAGGTTGGAGACCAGAGCCAGCAGAGGAATCACAGAAGGTACCTTAGCGCCCACCTAGCCCACCTCTTCCATTTTACAGATGGAAAGACTAAGGCCCAAAGACAGGAAGTGATCTGCCCAAGATCAAAGCAGCAGAGACGGGATTTGAACCCAGGTCTTCTGACTCCAAATCTAATTGACCGTTCTAATATACCGTTTAACCAAGGCTCATTTCTGCTCTGGTTTCCAAACTTCATACAGAATTGTCATCCCCCAGGACCCCTCCCCTCTCTACCTCCCACTCACCCATTCAGAACAAAGGGTACAGCAGAAATTACTAGACAGTCCTATCCTTGTAAGTGGGGAGAGGGAAAGGGCACGTAGGAAGGAAGCACATTTTGACGGGTTTGTAAAACTTTGACTGCCAGCGGTTTTTGCTTCTTAAGACATTCAAGTTTTAAAAACCGCCTCCTCCTCCCTGCATCCTGTTTCCTATCCCCTGTGCTTTGAGCCTCTCCAAGCTCCTCAGAGACAGTGCAGTGCAACACGGTTCACAGAGCGGACAGTTTGGGGGACGCTGGCCCATGGTGTGTGAAATGCTGATCTGATCTCAGTTCCTAACCGCTTTGATATCCCTTACAAAGTTTCGGCTTGAATGCTTCCAGAGATGGGGAGCTCACTACTTTATCTGAGTAATTGTGACCTCCTTTCTGGACTCTAGGCCATGCTCCCTCTCCTCTTCTAATCTAATTTCCTTCACGGACAATGGAAGGATCATGAGATCTTGAGCTGGAATCTACTTTACGGATCATTTGGTCTAAACACCCTCATTTTAGGTAGAAAGCAAGGCCTGGGAGATGATTTTTTAAAATAGGATTAACAATTTAGACGTGGAAAGGACCTCAGAGATCATCTAGTCTTAACTCCCTTCTTTTAATTGTATGTCTTCTAACTATCTATGCTTTCCATCCCCCCACTCCTACCCTCACCCCTCCTGCCCCCCATTAGAAAGAAGTAGCTTGGGGGTGCAAGTCACTTGTCCAAGGCCAAACAGGTAAAATCCTAAAGGAAGAATCTGACCCAGCCAGGGCCTCTTAACTCCAAATCCTGTACCAGAATCATTGCCCTCTGCTGCCGGCACTCAGGAGTCAGGCTGACAGACTGCCTTTAACACTTTACCCCGCTGACTGTCTAATTTGGGTTTTGCCTAGACAGGCTCATAGAAATGAGCACAAAGATAAGTCCCGACAGGAGAAGTCGGAGCCTGATGTGCCCTGGGGAAATAGACACTAAACCCTCCTGCTTATCTCCAAGCTTGATGCCGATCCTCCGAATCCCAAAGTCCCACAAACCTGGTTAGGGAGAGCTGACAGGAGGCACGTTTATCTCAGTAAGTATGTGCCCATGTTTACAATGTGAATCCCTCCTGACCCACTTTAAGGAACCTGGGCAGACCTCCCATCTCTGAGAATTCTCAGGAGCTGTTGTTCCAGGGCTGACACATGTGTACACAACCCATGAGCCTCTGCGTGTGTGTATGCATGGGTGTGCACACGTGTGGAGGTAGGGGTGGGGGAGCACCACCTGTCCTTGGAGAGAGTCAGAGTGTGAACCAGACTTTGCTCTTCATTTGAATCTATTTTGGTTTCTTCCCTCAGCTATGTTTTGCACTAAGGCCTGACACAATCTCCCGGCTTCAGGATTCTGACTGCTTGCTTACCCTTTGTCCTCTATACAGTCGCAGACATGCTAACCTCATGCAGCCCAGAGATATCATTCCCTCCCACTGGCTTATCCCATGCCAGCCCCTCATGTCTCATCCAGTCCCTGGACCCAGCCCCTGCCCAGAGCTACTGTCACGGTATCAGGTACCACTTTAGATGGGGCACTCTCCTATGAGCTTCCAAGACAATGTGGGTGGACTGGATGTTTATGACCTTGGTTTCTTTGTCCCTATCACTTCCTCTAGGGAGATTTAAATGGGCACAGGTGCACACATTATATTCTACAAAACTCTAGCTGAACCGGCAAAGATGACAAAAGATGGAAATTGTCAATGTTGAAGTAGCTGCAGAGAGACAGGCTCACTAACAGACTGAGGGTGGAGCTTTGAATTGGTTCAACTGTTCTGGAAACAATGTGGAATTATGCTGAAGGACTGACAAAAATATCCACAAGATCCCACTGCTAGGCATATACCAAAATATTGATGGAAACTTTTGTCTTTTTTGTAGCAGAGAAACAGAAATAAAGTAGATGGCTATTGATTGGGGAATGGCTAGCCGGTGGTACATGAATTTAATAGAATATTACTGTGCTGGAAGAAATGATAAATATGAAGAATTTAGGGAAGCATGGGAAAAAAATCTGCAAAGTGAAGTAAGCAAAATCAGAGAAAAAAAAATACATATCAGTGATTACCTCAGTGTAAATGGAAAGTATAAAAAAAAGGGAAACTAAATGCTGTATCATTATAATGACCAAACTTGGTCCCAGAGAAGAGTTGAGAAAATGCATCCCCTTCATGTCATTGCAGAGGTGGGGAACTATGAATACGAAATACTGTGTATACAAGTCAGCCATTATCAATGTGTTGATTACTTCTGTTGAGATGATTTTTTCCTTTCTTTTTTGTTTTTCTGTTTGTTTTGGTTTTGCTTTTTTAGGCAAT